ATTTTCCTTTGACAGTGCCTTTTCTCATTCCCCAGTGCAGGAGCAATGCTGGTCATACCCACTGGACTGCTTTTCCTGCCATTCCCCTTCACAGCTTTCTCCAGGAATAAGAGAAGTGGCTTTGGGAGATGAGTTATCCCAAGGGGCTCATTTTTTTCCCCTTGTGCCATGGGGTTTATTTTCCTCCACATGCCTGTAGCTGCTGAGCCCAGCACAGCCATGGGTTTATGGGGAGCATTTCCCATGGCCACCACTGGAAGCAGAAGCCATCCTGTGGCACAAACACTTTAGCCTAGTGACATTCTAAAATGTGTTTGGCTTTCCCACCCCACCACGTCCCGTGCCCAGCAGCAGCGCTGCTCAGCATCCTCAGTCCCCAGAGATTTGGGGTTGAGCAGGAGCAGCAGCATCCCAGGGCGATGCAGAAGGTGTTGTTGGCAGTGGGTGTTTCTGCCACGTGGGCTGAGCGTGGGAGAAAGCCTCTGGCTCTGTTTGCATTGGCAGTGGGGGGACACTTTACCAGAGGGGACATTTTCCGCTCTCGCGGAGAGGGCAGGAGCCAGGAGAAGCCTCCGTGTCCATGCCAGGGCTGAGTCACCCCGGTCGTGAGGAAAGGAGTGTGTGTGTGTGTGTGTGGGGAATTAGACAGTCAATCATGCTTTCAGCAAGCCTGAAATCATCTGTGATATTTTTATTTCCAGATTCCCGGCTTCGATTTTTGTGGGAAGGTTTTTCCCGACGTCCCGACCGCAGTGACGCCACGCCGAGGGCAGCCCTGGCACGATGGTGCTGGGGGTGGTGAGCAAAGCCTGGCTCCATCCCACCCATCCCAGAGCTCCCCTCATCCCTGCCCCACAAGCTGAGGACTGGGGGCAAATTTCAGCAGTGAATTTGCTTTTCAGCCCCTTGATGGCCCAGAGGAAGGTGGGGTTTAAGGTTCCTTCTAACCCAAACCATTCCATGATTCCCTGACCTCAGGTATGTGTTTTATCCCAAAGCCTCAGTCCCTGGAGCAATGTAAAGAGGAGAATTTCAAAAGGTTGGTTTTTCTGGGTTGGTTTCTTTATTTTTTACCTACTTGGTCCCTGGTTCCTGGCCACAGGCACAGCCTGAACCCGCTTCAAGCCCAGCAAGAACAACTAAAGCAACTTGATTTGGAGGGATGCTCATGAATGATGCTTGGAGCAGGAAAACCATCACCAATTCCTCAAGCTGGAAGGAAAAAATGGTGGGAAAAAAGCTTTACATCTCCCACAAAAGCCTTGGTGTGAAGAGCAGTCAGCGATTCCAGGCTCAGAATCCAAACCAAAACTGAGCAATCACACACAATTTTTTTCCTTGTGGAGCCAAAAGCTGTTCCTGTCAGGCAATATATTTGCTCTCTGATTAATATAGGAGATTTTTTTTCTTTTTTCAGGGAAGAGAAGTGGAGAAGCTGACAGCAGCATGTGAAGCATCTGGCAAAAGGTATATTTTATGTTTCGTGTAGGTAGCTCTTGATATATTTGCCATCTATAAATAGCCCCATACTTATATACCTCCCTCCACATATTGTTTCTACTTCTTTTGCAGACTACCTGCAAAACACAGACACTCTCTGAAGCTGTAAATACAGCCATTTCACTGACTGACAGCCCATTCTCCAAAGTTTTGATGCAAAACACCTTTGTGTTTTCTGGGGAATGGAGCAGGGATGTGGCCCTTGTATTTTGGGGTATCGATGTGTGTTGGATAATTCATGGCAAATTTTCAGATGGTTGAGAAATTTTCTTGTGTGGGGGTATCAGGTTGGGGTGGTGGTGACTTGGCTTCTCCTTTCAAGATTAAAAATACTGTAAAAATTTTGGTAAAGAGAGCTACAATAAGTAAATAAAACCTTTGGTTTGGTCTCTCCAACCCGAACAGCCCTATGATTTTTATCATTTGGGATTCCTCCCCTGTTTATATAGAGCTAAACTTTAAAGGGAAGAATTCCCATTTTTTTTCCTTAAAGAAGTGCTGGAACAAGATCCTGGGACTTTTGAAAAAAAAAAAAAAAAAAAGCTGTTGCTTTTTATTTTTCCCTGCTTTTTCCAGCTTGATTTCTCAGTCAAACCAGTCCCTTTAACACCCAGCTGCATTTTTTTGGCTACAAACTCATCCGTACAGTCACTGCCGTGTTTTCCCAATTCTCCCATCCTAACACTGCACAGAAATGTGCTGGCTTGCCTTTTTTGTCTCTCGAGGGCTTCCCTGCCTCGAAGCTGAGGGCTTGTGGAGGTTTATCTGGTTTCCCTTTGTTCAGCACTCACTAAGGAGAAAGAGGAAGGAAAGGCTCTGTTAAAAATAGCAGGGCCAGGACTCCCAGCCTCACTGAAGGTCACTTCCCTGAGCCTCACTGCTGCAGAGATGTCACAAATGACCCGTTTGGGAACATTTCTGATGGTTCAGGGGCAGCAAAGAGCCTGCAGGAAGGCAGGGTGCTCATTGCCCAGCTTGGCTCCAGGCTGTGCATGGAGTTTATTTTCCATCCTAGTGACACATGCAGGGTTCCCTCCTGAATGTCAGGGATCTCTGCAGGGATCTCTGCAGCTGGAGACATGAAGCTGGAACATCCTGACTCCCTTTCTCCCATGCTGGTGCGTGGGGCCTGGCCTCCCAGTGGCCTTAAAATCTTATTTTTAATATTTTAAAAAAAGTTTTCAAATTGTTTTAAAGTTTTATTCTTGAATTAAATATTTTTAAATTTTGCTTTATTATTATCACCATATATATATTACTATATTATTATATATATACATATAATATATATATATACATTTATATATTATATATTTATATAATATATATTATTTTATATTTTTACTATATTCTTATATATAATGTATATATTTTATACATATATATATATATAAATTTTAAAATTTTTTTTATTATATCAGGGCAGCACCAGGTCTCAGGAGTGTGACCCTGGTGACTTGCAGGGGAGCAGGGCAGGGGACAAGCTCCATTTCTGTCCTCAGCATGGCTCGGTGTGGGCAGACAGTCTCCCAGGAAACTGCAGGAAGGACTCATGCAGTCAGAAACCCCCCACTTCCCCTTTTCCCACTCTTCAAGATTATTCAATTCCTCAGTTAAAATGAAATTACGTGGTAAAATCCCAGCTCATTATCCCATGCAGTGTGTTGGGTGCTGATGTCCCCTTGGATTCCAAAGCTCCGTGGTGGGATGAGCACCCTCCTGCCCCAGGGCACCACCCTCCATGGGCCAGGGGAGGAGGGATGAGGTTGGTTTGCAGCCCTGGTTGCATCCCCACATCCTGTGGGCATTTTTGGCTTCAAAGCCACTGTGGTGTTTGTCTCCTGATGATGGACACGAGTCCCTGGTGCTGTGAAATCCTGCAATTCCTGCTGGGCAGGGGAGGGAAGAGTGCTGAGGATATGAAAGAGAGAGGCAAACCCTGGTGATGCTGGGCCAGGGCCAAGCAAGTCTCGAGCCCTCACCCTCCCCTTGGTGAACATCACATCTCCATGGAGAGCAGGAATCATTCCTTCTGGAAAACCAGACCTTTCTCCATTTTTGCCTTCTGCTTTTGCTGGAAGGAAACATGGAGTGAAATTTTGCCCACAGGAAAAAGGGCTGAATTAACCACCTGAAGCATCAACTCAGCCCCAGGTACATGAGGGACCCTTGGGTGCTGCCTGGGAGCCTCTTGTTGTGCTTTTTGTTTTTTCTGTTTCCTAAACTCCAGCAAAATCCCAGGAATGACACACCACAAAGGCACTTTTTTTTCCAGGAGGCATTTTGCATCAGGGAAAAACCCATTTGAGTGTCAGAGCGAGTGTTGTGGTGTTCCCCCTTTAATGGATATTAATGTATTTTCCTGCCTTTGAAAGGAATTGGAATACAGTTAAAAAAAATTAATAATGGGCCAATACCAGTCTGGATTCATAACAGAGGCTCGTAAGTGTGCTCCTGGGGGAAAATGTCAGGGAGTTTGCAAACACCAAAGGATCCAAGCTCAAATCTAGTTTGGGCAACTATTCCAAACATGCTCCAGATGTGGCATTGCACTTGGGAAAGCCTCATTTCCAGCTTAATTGTGGACAGGACCATGGAAGAAAACCTAAAAACCTGTGCTGAGGAGCTGCTGCTGTACAAGTCTGACACTTTAGTGAATGCTGATTTTCAGAGCCAATTGCAGTGGGATCAGAGCTGGGAAACAGAGTGACTGTTATTTGTGCATCCATGGGCTCCCACAGAAAATCCTTGTCCAAATTTCCTCCTCATTTTCCCTAACTGTGATATCCTGCCTGCCTCAAAGGCCTGTGCTGGCCAGGTGTTCCCAGATGTTCATCTCTGTCATCCATGGGCTGAGGTGGGCTCTGCAGAGCTGGGACTGCAAATCCACATCATCCTGGTGGGATGCACAGCAGGGCTGGTGATTCCCTGCCACCTTCAGTGCCTGCATTTGTGCTCCAAGAAGTCAAATCCTGCTGCTAACCACACTCCCACACCACCTTAAGGGATGCACAGCCAAGGGAATATATTTCCAGGAAGGGTGGGAACACCAGAGCTCCAGCCCTGAGCATGGTGGTGGTGAGGATTGCTGTTTGAGCCCCCAGGGAGCAGGATTGACCCACAGCTGCTGCAAATCCTGGCCAGGGGATTAGAAATAAACCCCTAAGCCTGGCTCTGAAAGGTCGGCCGGTGTGTAACATTTAGAAAAGCCTCAAACTGTTATTTCGAGGAGAATTATTTTTTTTTTCTCCATAGGAAAAGCAAATATCTAAGCTGCTGTGGAAAAAAAAAAATTAAAAAAAAATGCTGTTCCTGATGGTCCCCTGTGAATGGGGATTGGCTGTCTGTGACCTGGGGTATGCAGCTAGAACAAGCCTGGAGCAGAATGGTAAATGGCAGCAGCACTGTTATTACTCTAATTAATTAATTAATTACTCTAATGAATTAATTAATAGCCCTGTGTGTGGCAGCCCTGGGGCCAGGGGAGGGTGCTGGAGCAGGACATGGGGCAGCTGGGCTGATTTAGGAAGCCGAGAGCTGTTGACAGAAGAGGTTTGCTCCTCCTGGTGCAGCATTAGCTGCTCTGTTGGGGTGGTGAACCCCAAATTTGTTCTCCTGGGGCTCTCCCAGGTGCCACCACTGCGGGTGTGGAGCTGTGGGGAGCTCAGGGGTGGCAGGAGATCCCTGGAGAGGCACAAATTCACATCCAAGGGCTGGCTCCTCACCTGCCACCGCTTCTGACAGCCTCTGGGCCACCGTGAGCTCGACCTGAGCCAGGTGGGGAGATGTGGACGCCAAACCACGTTGGTGTTGAAGCAAAGGGGATGAAATAATGTGCTGAAAGCCCTGTACTTTGGCAATTTTGAGCCGAAATTGCCGCTGCCAGTGCTTAAACCCTCCGCTCGGGCCTGCTGTCCACTGCTGCCCAGCCCGGGCCTGGGGCCGCTTACCAGAGCACTGCCTGCTCTCTCAGCCTTTCCAGCAAACATCATTTTTTCCCCATCTCAGAGGAACAAAGTGGAGACAAAAGATTAATCTTCCATGGATTGTAAAATCCTTGGAGTGAGGAGAGTGGCGTCGGCTCAGCGTCGCTGGCAGCCTCTGCTGACTCCGACAGGCTTTGGGGCGGCTCCAGCCATCCCACTCCTCAGCGGGAGCAGTGCAAATCCACAGCTTTTGGGGGAATTACTCCTGATTTCCTCTTGTAGAAGCAAGATTAAAATCAAAACTGCCTGTAGACTTCCATGTCTTGTACAGCACACAGCCAGCCCTGGCTGGGTCCTGCTCTTCCTCCCACACCGCAGCCACGGCAAAAAAAAATAAAAAAGAAAAGAAAACAACTCCTCAGTAGCCTGGGAGGTGTTAAATCCATTCCTTTCTTCTTTTTATGGCTCTCTTAAGCGTGTCTACCTCCAGAAGTTTTTGCTGCAGGGGAAGCCAAGATAAATAAAGAGGTTTGCCCTTTGTTTCAGGGCTGACCCACTACAGAAGGGAATCCCCCACACTCGGGGGGCTGCCAGGGATGGAGCCCAGCTCCCTCCACAGCTCAGGATGTCTTTGGACCCTTTGCTTGCAATATTGAGAGTGTTTTCAGTCCAGTTTCCCTCACTAATTTACAGCTTCCAGTCACTAATGGTTTTCGTGGATTGCTTAATTATAGGTGGGGTGGATGGTGCTGCCTTGTTACCAGGGCTGCCAGATGTTCCCTTTGTAACTCTCATCTCAGTCGCTCCCAACCTTGTCAAACTTTAACTTTTGCAGCTGGGACATGAATTTTGTGCTCTTTTCCAGTACAAGGACTGGCATCATCCGATGGAACTGGGAAAAGCAGGAACAACAGCCTGCACCTGGCCTGCTGGTAGGTGGGACCCTGCTGGGCTGGAGGAGCTGCTGGTGTGGGAGAATGTGACAAAAGGGTCAGGAGATGCTGGGGGGAGCAAATGAGGGTCTCCAGGTGTTCATGCACAGTCACACAGCTTGAGCTTTCTGTGTCTTGTCTCTGTTCTCCACCTGCACAAAGAGCATTAAACCAGACCTTCACCTCCCCGTGAGCAGGTGAGGCAGTTTGTGCTGTAGGGCCTCATCTCAATCATGCCCAGGAGGACACCAAGGACCCTCTTCCCAAAGGCCTTGCTCTAAGGGCAGCATGTTTGCCCTGAAATAGGCTAACAAGGCTTGTCATGAGCTTCCACAGAGCCTGGGGGATGAGGGGTCCCATCCCACCCCTGCCAGAGCTGCTGCTTTGAGAACGAGTTTTGGGGATGATCTGTTGCACCAGGTCCTCTGTGCCCCTGGTCAAGAGCACATTATGTGTTAATATTTTCACATCACATCAATTCTTCCCAGGTACCTGGTGGAAATCTCTCTGCTGAGGACAGGCTGAGGGAACTGGGCCTGTTCAGCCTCAAGAAGAGATGAGTGAGAAGGGATCTCCTCCATGTCTGTCAGTGTCTGAAGGGTGGATGTCAAGAAGATGGACCAGGCTCTTCCCAGTGGTGCCAAGAAATAGGACAAGAGGCAATGGGCAGAAATTGATGCCCAGGAAGTTCTGCCTCAACATGAGGAAGAACTTCTTTCATTTACATTGACCAAGCACTGAACTATCTGCCCAGAGAGGGTGTGGAGTCTCCCTCACTGGAGATATTCCAGAACCCTCTGGGCACACTCTGTGCCACGTGCTCTGGGATGACCCTGCTGGAGCAGGAAGGTTGGACCAGATGAGTTACTGTGGTTTTTGCCAGCCTAATCCATCCAATCCCGGGATTCTGTGAACCACTCAGCCCCACGAGCCAGGGAGCTCTGGGGCAGACTCTGGCCAAGGGCAGCACTATTGCCAGGGTGGCTCAGCAGCAGAAAGAGCACTTTTCCTCCCAAAATGCTCATGAGAGGCAGATGAATAAAATGACAGAGCTTGAAGCAAGGCCAGCCACAGGGCTGGGAGCTGTGCTTCTTGCAGGACCTGAGACAGGCCGGGCTGAGCTCTGGAGCATTCTCTGCCTCCCACGCCTCAAGTGCAGTGAACTGAAAAAAATTACTTTATCAAACTAGAAAACTGCATTTCTTCAGGACCTCCACTCCAGTGGAAGCTGCAAAACATTTTCTATAAATGAATTTATGTAGAAATAAATAAGCCAGAGCTCCTCCCTGAGATGTCTGCTCCTTGTGCTAGCTGCTGTCTCCGGCTCTGCCTTGAGTACGTTTCTGTAGAATCTGGGTTTTTTACCCTCTCAGCTGGAGAGCAGTGCCAGTCACCATCAACTACAGGCTTCTTCCAGCAACAGTGGGAAAACTGGAAGTACCTGAAAAGTCAGAAGTTCACATGGGGAGAGTCACTGGGAGCAGGTTTGAGCTGGGTCATGGAAAAGCTGCTGGAGTGTGGGAGCTGGGTCAGGTGCACTACATTGAAAAGTCCCACAGATGTGGTGATGGTGGTTACCCTTAGCTGGATTGAAAAATGGGTTTTGGGGGCAACCCTCCTTTTCCAGATCAGGCTAGCTCGTCATGGTGCTGCTGGTGGTCTCTGCTGCACAGGGGAGCTGCTAAAAGCAGTCATTTTGCTACCACAAGAAGTCATTTAAGCAGCTCGTTGCAAAAAGTGATGTAAAGCCCTTGTGTGATGTAACTGGAGCCCTGACCCATCTGGGGCTGGGCAGGAAGGGGACAGGGAACTTGGCTAAACAGGGGAGTGAGATGGGTCAAGGCCAGTCGTGCTATCTAAATCCTGGCAAAAACTCAAGTGCCTCCAGGATAAGCCCATTCCTCAAATATGGATGCTCTGCCTTCTGCGTGGGGCTGAGGAGCACTGAGGAGTGTGAAGTGGGATGTCCCAGCATGTCTGGCACATACACAGTGAGGCTGGAGCTCAGGTTTTACTGCACAGGAGGTCCTTTGGGTCCTTCCTCTGCCTCCCTGCAGTGACAATTTACATCTCACATTTCCAGGGACAAGGGCAGCACAGCACAACTGCCTCTCTCTGGATACAGTGCACGGATGGCGAGAGTGTCAGTGGCTTCCACAAGCGTCAGGCAGGGATTTGTAATTCCAGGGCTCCTGATGCAATCATGCAGTGATAATTCTGATCCCACCAAAATCACTGGACATGGAACTGCTGTGCTTCCAGAAGAGTAATAGTGGGGTTGGGGCATGCTCAGCTTCCAGGTGGGAGTAGGGTGCTGGAGGGGACCCAGAGAGCAGCACTCTTTGCCAGCCCCCTTAGACCCCACAGCTGAGCTGCACCCATGCAGCATTCCCACCTCCTTCTATTGCTCCTGATTTTTTCTTTATTATTTTTTGTGATGGAAACTTCAGTTCTGCTCTTAACTGCTCAAGACACTGCTGCTATTTCCTCTGGACTCTTTCCACTGCCCACAAACCTGCCCACTTCTCAGCCTGGAAATCTGCCAAAACATCGACAGGCTGAGAGCTGGGCTGCTCAGCCTGGAGAAGAGAAGGCTCCAGGAAGACCCTAGAGCCCTGTCCAGTGCCTCCAGGGGCTCCAAGAGAGCTGGAGAGGGACTTTGGACAAGGGCCTGGAGCAACAGGACAAGGGGCAATGGCCTCACAGGGAAGGAGAAGAGATTTAGATTAGATATGAGGAGGAAATTGTTCCCTGTGAGGGTGGGCAGGCTGTGGCACAGGGTGCCCAGAGCAGCTGGGGCTGCCCCTGCATCCCTGGAAATGCCCAAGGCCAGGCTGGACGGGGCGTGGAGCAACCTGGGCTGCAGGAAGGTCCCTGCCCATGGCAGGGGGTGGCACTGGGTGGGCTTTAAGGTCCCTCCCAACCCTGGTCCGGGCTGGTGCGAACAGCTCGGGGCTGCCGAGGGGGAAGTGCTGGAGGCGGGGAGCGGAGCGGGGAGCGGGGCGGTACNGGGATGCGGGCGGCGGTGGGATGGGGCAGCGCTAACGGGACACCCGCATCCCTCCTGGCACCCTCCATCGGGACCTTCGGGACCGGGATGGGGATGCGGACCCGCACCCTCCCCATCGGGATCGGGATCGGGATGCGGACCGGGATCCTCCCCGCCGGTCCCGGAAAGGTCCGGGCTGCTGCCGTGGGTCCCCCCCGGAGCATCCTCCCGGCGCCGAGGATCGCTGGGGATGTGCCGCGGGACACCTGTTGATTAGGACAGTATTTATCGGCTTTAATTAAAGGCTAATTACCGCGGGTACGGGCCACCAGGAACGTCGGCAATTAGCGGGGTGTTAATTCTGCTGGCGGAGTGACAGAAAGCGGGGAGGGACAGCAATATCTTGTTTCCAGGAAGGAAAGAGGGGAAGCTCTCACTGCCTGTGGGTGACAGAGGGAAGCCCCAGAACAGCCGTGAGAGGTGTAAAAGGGGGGATCTCGCTCACCCCTGCCCTGCTGCGGGGGGCTCCGGCCGTGTCCCGACCCTGCCGTGTGTCCCACGGAGCCGGGACACCCCCTGCGAGCGGCTGGGCATCTTCACGGCATTGAGAAGGGGAACTTTTAAACGTGTGCTTTGAAAGTGTTCGGTGTGCCCAGGAGGGGCTGGCTGGGGTGTCTGGACCTACCAAAGTGATTTTAGGGTGGGTTTATTCGGGCTGTGAGCGAGGTCGGTCGTTAACTCTGCATAAGAAACAGGAGGGTTTAGGGTGGTTTGCTCCAGTGCTTTGGAGCACTGAGTCCCTTCTCAAACTTCTGCAAGGACACAAGTGTGTAAACTCTCTCCTGGCTTGGAGCTAGTTGCATCTGCTTCTTGCTTGATCCTCGAGGATGAGGCCAGGGAGAGCCTGAGCAGGTGCTGGCAGGATTGCTGTCCACATTTCTATTTGTTGGGAGGGCTGTGGTAGGTGGGATCAGAGGGCTGTGACTCCTCCAGCCCTGAGAGCAGCTGTCCTGTGCTGAGCTGTGCTCAGGGCCCCCCATCCCAGCAGTGCTCCCTGTTCCAGGCAGCTTCAGCTCCCTTCCCTGAGCCAGCATGGTCAGGGCTGGACTTGGGAGCTCTTGCTATGGAGAACCGGCACAAGCTGCAAGCAATGGAGCATCACATCTGTGCCTGGAGGCTTGATTTTGGAGAAGGGCAGCTGGAGACCTGTCTGGTTAACTGGGAGGAACCCCTCTGCTTTGGGGGCTGAAGGCAAAATACATCCTTAATGCAGAATTCACCCTTATCCCACAGGTCTGATCTCAGGGTATAATTGCAGCCAATTTCTGCTCCATGCCCTGGCCCCACAGGATCTTGTGGCTGAAGGGTGTCACCGATGGGCATCACCATCGTGGGGCTCCTGCTGCCTTTGTCCCTCTGTTTGCCCAGGTGAATCATCATCACTGAGTCAGGCTCCTTGGCTGCTCAGCTCACCGGGCTCTGCCTTGAAAAAGGGAGCTCAAAGGTGTGACGTAGGTGCAGAGCAAAGGGTTAGTGGTGGCACTTAGTTTGCCTTTAAATTTATTTTCTTTTCGCTTCCTCCCCTTGCAAGCAGTGGCTCTGTACTCTCCTCGCTCGGCAGTTTTGTTTCCCATGCACCCCAGCACTGGGTTTCTCACAAGCTGTTGGTTCACAAGAGCTTCTGAACTTTGGGGTATCCTGTGTCTTTCACCTTCCAAGCAGAGCTTTGCAGCTTTGCATTCTTTTCAGAATGTTGAGGGCAGTGCAGCCCTCAGTGAAATGTGGTCAAAGGTTTTTAAGAATTCTGAATTTCTGAGCAGTATTTATATTTTTCTCATGGTGCAAATGAGACATAGACAGTTTAGAACAGCTTAAAACCATGCAGATAGGGACCTGTGTGGTTTGCTTGGTTTAAAACCTTGATTTTAAGCAAAAAGTGGGGGTTTTTTCCCAGCATGGTGAGAACTTGCAGGTTGTGTTGTGGCAGCAGGCACCCTGGCTGTGCTGGGATCCCCTTGGGTGTCCTGTTTGGAAGAGCTGCTTGGGGTCAGGGTGCCACAAGGGAGCAGCTTGGGACAACGAGCTGGGTTTGGAGATGGACTGTATTAAATTGCATTTCAATTTAGGTTTAAATTAAACTCTGGCAGCAGAAGTGTGGGGCAGTTTGGTGACTCGTTTGAGCTCACACAGAAGGGGAAGAAAAATCTTTTGTGGCTCGAAGTGCAGAGCAGGCCTTAAGCTCCAGCTACTTTCATTTTCTCACCCTCCTGTCTCACATTCATTCATTTCCTTCTAATCTTGAGCTCCAAACTGCTGGTGTGGTCGTGAATCACAATCTAAAATACATCATCTTTCTGAAAAACTGCCTCCTGACATGCTTCACAGAGCTGCTGGCTGCTGCTTTTTTATTTCATTTAAAAAAATACGAGCTGCAACGAGCTCTGACGTTAAGTGAGAAGCAGCCGTCATTGGTGTGACTGATATATAAAATTATTTCATTTTTTGGGGGCGGTATTCTTTTGGAGCTTAAAATTGTTTTTTCAGAGCCAGTGCTCACAAACACATTTGTAGGAGGAAATGGAGAGCAATAGTGATTATTTGGTATCTCCAGTTTGTGGCTGGGGGGCCAAGCAGTGTGCTATAGATTACTGGAGTGGAAGAAGATATTTCTCCATTAGGAAGAGCTTGTGTTCTTGTTTCAGCTCTGTCATCAGTGCTGTCATCATGGCCTTTCATTTGCCAAGGAAACTGGAGAAGCCACAGAACATTTAGGTCTCACCATGGCAATTCTGAATCTCCCAAGTCAGTTTTAATTAATAAATGCTTTGGATTTATGTGTCTCACATGTGCCTGGCAGGTGCTTCCTTATACCTCATCCCATCCACCAGCTCCAAGCTCCACAGGTTGCTTTTAGATCACAAAACTTTAAAAAAAAAACAAAACAAACAAACAGAAATAACCAAATGCACATCTGTTATTTTATAACAGACTGAGCAGGAGGGTATGGGCATGCAAACATTTTCCTTCCTAAATGTAAAACCAGAGGCACAATTTCCCTCGAAATGATTTGAGTTTTGCCAAGGAATGACAGATATAAACAGAGGTTGCTTTGTGGACAGACAAGTGATTTTTCTGTTTTAAATATAGCTCTGATTTATCTCTTCTAAATGGATTTCTGAGTGTAAATGAGCATACATTTCAGGCAGGATATTGCTGGTATTAATGCGTATGCATAATTTTATTTGCTCCATCAGTAACCTAAATGGGCTGTGAAAGTCAGCAGAGTCAAACTCGAGGCTTC